CGATCACGATTACGATTACCCCTTGCTTCGCATCTTTGTATACCCTCGGCGGCTATTTGTTCATTATCTGCAGCATCGGGGTGTCCACCCCTCAACAACTCCACGACCGAATGACCCTGGCCGAATGACTGTGGCGAAGCGGTGACGGAAACGTCCCAGCCCTTAGATTGTGTTCTCTCGTTTCACCATCGACATACGAACCATCGAAAACACGCCTGCCATGGCGACTCCTCTAGATGGCATCGTCATTGGGCTGCTATCGTCCTTTGGCTCTGCCGTCATCGTGGCTGTCATCTTCCTCGTCATCTACTTCTTTCGCCACACTGCATCGGGTCGCATCTTCCTTGACCGCATCGGTCGTCCTGGCGAATATGACGATGAGCAGGCGTTTGCGAGGGAAGAGGCCGAGGCCCTGGAAACAATGGATGATATGCAGAGGACAGAGTATCTTAGAGCAAAAGGTAGACTTGCGCTCTCTCCAGCTGAGAGATGGAATCCTTCCCTCAGCTCTATGCTCTGCTCACAGCTAACTCGCCCCCAGCATTTATACAAGGAAACCCACCCGAGTCGGTCCAGACGGACATTTCATTATCTCAATATTTAGCTATTCAGGAGAAGGGTGTGTCAGCATGGGAGTTCGAGCCAGAGTTAGAAATTGCCAACTGCTTTGTCGAAGCCAGGACCGAGATCGAATTCTTCGACTCGGAGTGCACAGTCATGAGCAATCTGCCCGTACCAAAGCAAAACGAAGTATATTACTGGGAGGCGAAGATATACGAAAAGCCCGAAGCCACGTTATTAAGTATTGGAATGTCTACGAAACCCTACCCTTTGTTTCGGCTTCCAGGTACATACATACTCCATACATTCGATCGACGTATTTGCTACTAACCCCGTCTCAAGGATACCACAAGCACTCTGTTGCCTATACATCTATAGGCGCGCGGAGATTCAACCAACCTTTTACGCCAACGCCTTATGGGCCCCCAATTGTTCAGGGCGATGTAATCGGCGTGGGATATCGCCCACGAACTGGTACTATTTTCTTTACTCGCAATGGTAGACGGTTAGATGATGTAGTACATGGCCTGAAGTCGCAGAACTTCTTCCCCTCAGTAGGCGCCAATGGCCCCTGTATTGTTCACGTCAATTTTGGACAGGCTGGCTTCGTCTTCATCGAAGCTAACGTAAAGAAATGGGGGCTCGCGCCAATGACCGGCAGTTTAGCGCCCCCTCCCCCTTACGGAAGCGAACAAGGTAGCATCCTACTCGAATCCGGCCGTAGGAAGGACGAGACTCCAGGATCCCCATCACGAACCCATTCCTATTCACAATCGTTTCAGACATATACCAGCCGAGGTCCGATACAAGAATCGAGTCACGCACGAACACGCAGCGGCAGTTACCGAGTCCTCCCACCTACTAGCCCAGGACCACAGAGAAGTCCTACGGATATTTCTCTTGCGCAGTTGGTTCCCACGGATGAGCCGGGCGAGGGGAGTACGGCCGGCCATGGCTTCGCGCCATCTAGAGATCATGTGATCAACATCACTGGTTTAGGTATGCACGAGGCTTCGCATCCACCACCCGAATACACCAGTCCCGAGCATTCCGATGAGGATGCTTCCGGCAGCGGTTCTGAGAGCGACGTTGCCCCCTTAATCAGGACCCCAGCGCGGAGCCGTGGGGCTTCTGCTGCCGCTCTCCGTCCACATAACCCGCCCATTCCCAGTTATAGCGATGCTGTGCGCCAAGGCGCTGGTAGGGATAGAAGCCGAAGCGATACAAGTGCTATGCAAAGGCGGAGGGGTAATTGAGATTGACTGATTATTCTTATCGAAAATTGACCCGGAGTTTGTGGGCGCATGGAGGCTTAAACATATTCAGGATTAGGAGGGGTCAAAAAGACCACCCCTCGACCAGGAATTCGAGTCAATTATCGGGTTAGGGAACACTGCCAGTCTGTTGTTAAAAATACCCGGCTAGCAAGACATATTGTAGCCATAAACATGAGAGACGGAGTTTCAGGTGTCTTTGAAGACGAACAGGTTTACCCAGTCATTGTTTTAGTCACAACGGTAGCATTATTCCACTGCTTCCTGGGTTTTACGACATTAGCACATAGATACTATATTGCATTGGGAGCCCTGGGCTTGGTTGGCTTCTTTGCTAGTTGCTGTTGGGGGGGAGTAGATAGTTAGCAGGCAACTTTTATATCATACCTCCAATGTGAAAATACTCCCATCTGGTTTTATTTTAGAGTTGGTTATTTTCCTCTGACTCGTCGCGTGGGAGATGGGGCTCCAAAGACTTATTTACCCACAAACGGCTCACGTTAGTCAAGTAGACAAGTACTTTGTTTGGATCTGTCCGAGGTATGTTAGGTCGACAACCAAGTGATGTCGTTGGTCCTCAGTGCCCGGCGGAATATTAACTACGTTGCTTAAGACAAACGTGAGTCGCTGAGTCCGTCTTATTCTGCCTTTGATGCTGAAAGGTATTCTGGCTGCTCATTGGAATGGATGTACCTAGCTTGGTATCTATTAGATGGATAGTCTAAAGCTATGATATTATGCCCGCCTATTCGACCTCTGAGTGAGCATGGTTACGGTTTTAGACGAAGTTTATATGTTAAATTTAGCACTAAGAATCAAAAGGAAAAGGGGGGAAGGAAAGAAAGAAACCAACATACAATAGCAAGGACTCGCTAATGGTCACGAACCTAAACTAACTAATTTGGCGGTCGTAGGATTTGGACGGAGCAATGAATGATATTCTGTTCAACATGTTTCTGCATTTAAAACCCGATACGTGTAGCTCTGGTCTGTTTTTTATCGGCAGTTTCGAAGTCTTGGGTGTGGGAGCCAAAGTTGGTTTTATGTTCGAGCCTGACTGGGACCTGGTTCTCGTTGATATATACTGTGGCCACTAAAGCATTGTATGTTTGTACAGTATAGGTGCCTTCTAACCCGAACCGTTTAGACATGATTTGAATGAAACGGTACGGCTTGTTTAATGGGAGAGCGGACAGGATCCTGAGTTTTCCAGTAAGGATGGTCGTACGTGACAGAGACTGGCCCAGTTAAAGCTTTACTTAACATCTAGGTAGTTGTCCGAGTCTCGTCATTGTGTTCTCTATGCAGGTATAGGGCTGAACGGAATGGTTGCCAAACACTGATCACACAAGGGGACATCTCAATCCGATTCGCGACCGTGACTCTCGGGGCATCTTTGACCGAATAATCTCGAGCGAAGAATGCTTCCTTGTTGCTGGGGTTCTATATGTGGGTTGGAAGAGTGACCTACTTACTTCAGGTGCGTGGAGCCGAACCGCCTTCGTCTATCAAATAGAGCGCCTGATGTTTTTATCATGGGTCTTCATCCGCTTGGGGAACTAGAATGGTGGTTTCTGGGTCTAAGGAAAGGATAGTAGGAAGTTTAACCTGATCTACAGATGACAGCAGTAGCGAGGAAGTCGTTAGTGTTACACATGTGAGAATTCTTGGTCTGAGATTCAGATCTTGAGACCGAGTGAATATGGTTTTACCCCCGTTTCCCCCTGATAGGGTCATTACTTTCATATACCTATCAATGTAACGCGCAGTCTAGCGTTTCAATGGAGAGAGCTCGGAAACTAAACTCTACGTCTAGTTCCAGAACCGCGGCAACGAACCTTAGATAGATTGAATGTGCAAACTCTTTGTGTGTATTATATATCCGTAGGAGGCAATTAAATTCTCTATGAGACGCGTGTCTCAGCAGTTTCTATACTGCACTGGCTGTCTGGTAACGGTGTAGTCCTGTAATAGTTACGGTTAGCCCACTCCATAAAATTAAGACGTTTGTTGCCTTTTAACTCTCCTCTCCCTCGTTGCCGAGTTCTTGGTTGTCCTCCGCATCGCCATCGATCGGTTGATCGTGTGTTACGTCGTAAGGCATCGGGATCTGCTTAGTCCTTTGCAACTGCGGGATTTGGTATAATGAATATTCAAACGCCGAGAGCGGTATCCTTGTCCCTAAATAGGGAGGTAATACGATATTTAGTGTAATAGCATCGTTCACTTGCTTCGTCCCGAAGTTTAGTTCTATACTTTCACGTACGATGATATAAGTTGTTTGCATTCCTCCCGATTCCTACTGGTCCGCGCTTTATCCTGCCTACATTGTAATGAAGGATGCGATGTGGTGAGCACTAGCATGCGAGTAAGCGATAGTTAACCTGGGGTCATCATATCAGCGCGCTTTGAAGCGAGTGATAAGGTTCAATAATGCCAGAAACTATTAGTACTAAAGTGCCGTGCAGAACAATCGGTGAAAGCTTTGCTCTCTTATTTATCTTACGATAGTCTACCTGCTAAGGGAGGTGCAGTATTCTAGCCTGACTCATAAACATAGTACTAGCAGTGAGACTCATGGAACTTTCACTAGATCAAGTCACGAGTTATCTCGAAACCCTGTTATAATATGAATAATTGTTGTATTATATAGGTTCAGTTTCTTTACTAGATCGGTAAGTCCATCGATACTTGAGCATACATACACTAGGATGACCCTTATAATTAGGCTTAGTTTGATTGTACACGAGTAAATTGTCCGTTGACTGCTAATAGACTGAAGTGAAACAGTACGGTTATGAATTATGTGTGTGTGTGTATAGTTTGCTGGCAACATAGTCCTTTCTAAGGAACCGGAAAAGACAGCCACCTACGTAGCGTATAATGTGAGTCGAGTATTGTGATTATCTTGTCATACTCTAATAGCGCTCAACACACAAAGCATAGAACCATGTGTATGATACCCAGTTTCAGTGCTATTTAGTTTCTCATTCTTCTAAACCTAATAGACTCGGCTGCATTGCTAGAAGTCCACGGTTATTGGATTGACAACGGCCAATAAATGGCGGCGATCCTCGACCGTCGATTTGGCGCAATGGTAGCGTACAGACCTCCTAAGTCTGGGGTTGCGGGTTCGAGTCCCGTGATCGATGCGGTAAAATTGTTGGGCGAATGGTCTAGAGGTATGATATTCGCTTTGCATTTGTCTGGTTATTCATCATATTCGGTATATATATGAGCCGGATTCCTATGCTTGCGAAGGGTCCGGGGTTCAATTCCCCGTTCGTCCATAAGTTTTGCGCAGTATGATGCTAGTCATAGCTTTTTTACCGAGAATTCGTCAATGGGTTGGTGATGAGTCGGTATAACTTTTTGGTAAATGGTTTGGGGAGTGTTAAAAAGGTAAGCATAGAATCACTGTACGGATACGTAACTAGCGGTAAGTCCAGTAATATCGCGGATGGAGGGGTTTTATTGATTCGCTGCTAAGGAAGGGTATCTCTTATGTCTGTAGAAAATCTCCCAACGCTGTCCACATCGTTCTGCTCTCTTTCGAACATCAAAAAAGGGAGCAACTATTCAAATCTACTACAAAACAAGAAAAAAGAGTGAAGTTCATATGCTGGGGCTCTCTAGTTAAATTTGCCCGGCTCGTAGCTTCTCTCCTAGGATCCAAATCATTACAATGCAAACATAATAATTCATTTTTAAACCTTCTGCTCAGTTGTTCCAGTCATGTTCTTCGAATAGCCGGTAAGAAAATTCTTAAAGGTATCAGCATTGTGTCGTAAGCTGGTAGATCGTAAATTTTTGACACGTAATAGCGTCTAATATCGCGTAGCGCTGGGCCCGTTTGTCGATTATCGTAAGGTCATACAAGGTGGGCGGTAGTGGTTAAGTAGTAATTAATACAGTCGGGGGGTCCCAAAGTGCCGAAGAGAATTTGCAGCGAAATCGTGCGTCCATGGCGGTTGCTAAATCATAAAAATCCGCCCTCGTTCCCAAGTACACCGATGCTACCTCGCCATCGACAGCGCTCATCAGAAGTCTGGCTGGTCCCTCGAGGACTCATAGACCCACGTGGTGTGTGCGAGTCGTAATCGGCACTCCCACGGCTACCAGTACTCGCGTTTGATTGTATTAGTAAACTGCTCGTGCCGCTCAATCGTTTCGCGAACTCATTGAAACTAAGGTTCTTCACGTCCGAAGTGGAATGTCGCTTCTCGTGAGACCGCCGCATCGCAATGCCTTCTGGTTGCCGTGATGGGGGAGATGATGGAATATGCAATGGTGGACCAGGAATGTAGGGTTGGCTGCTTGTGCGTTGGGCTGTTGGCCGGCTTCGTGAGTGTGACGTGTGCGGCCGGAGAACCGATGGTGCAGTTCTCAACCCGGAATCGCTGTAAGTAGAGTCGTGGCGGTTGGTAATAAATCGAAGCGCTTTAAACGTTGAAGCGTCCATCCCGTCGGGGTCGCCATATTCAAAAGCATAGTTGTCACTATCATCATCTTCGTCATCAACTTCCCTGCCAAACTCATCCTCGTCACTGTCATCTTCTTCCCATGTGCTCCTTAAAGGCTCTTGTTTTACCTCTTTTCCCCTCGTACTTTTCTGGCGACTTTCCGTCTCACGCATCAGTGCCTCGAACCTCGCCAAGGAAGTGAGTTTCTCTTCTCCTGCTATCTCTCTCTCAGAGCCCGGAATGCATCGCATTTGGAAAGCCCGGTCTAGAATGGTCTGGCGGGGTACCACGGGTGGGCTTGACTCTAAGCTGGGTTGAGTAGGGCTCTGAGAAGAGCTTATGCTTGCCCGCCCCATGACAGGAGAGCTAACAACCGAGGAACGTCCTTGCGCCATTGTCCATCCTTCCATCATGTGCTCTGGAGACTCATCAACAGTGGAAGCCGGCGAAGGCAGCTCAGAGTGCTGTAGGTTGGCATAATGCTGCTGTACGAAGTTCATAGCCGCTGGTACCATAGAGCTGGCTTGAGAAGACAGATCGCTTTTACGAGATCGAAGGCTAGGAGACCCAGAAGTGTATATTGAGCTTTGGTCGCGGGTCGAAGGCAGGGTTCTGCCTGATGATTTTGGTTGTAACTTCGATCTTAATTTCCCCTTTGCATTAGTTATCGGCGAAGACTTTTCGGGAGCATCCGGGATCGAAGGGAAAGGGCTTATAAAGGCCGGCGACGTTGGGCTGATTGGACTGATAGGTATGGCTTGATGCCGCTGTACAAGCGACTGGATATACCTCGCCCAGTCGTCCAAGCTATACTGTGACCCCTCAGCTGTGAGAAATAAGAGTGTTGATGGGCCCGAATCCTTAGTCGACATCAACCCTCCGGACCGACTCGATCGGCGCTTTCGCAGCTTGTCCGTTGCTGGATCGGGGGATATCTGAATAGTAAGAGTGGGGATATGGCCCTGCTTCCGATGAGCAATATGTTGCACCTGACAATCTGTTATCGAGGCAATTGAATGCTGATGAATGGGTTCAGTATCCTCCTATGGGTGTGTTAATAAACGTAGTCTGGATATTTAACCCGCTAAGAGCGCACCTTTGACTTGTAAACGGAGAGATAGACGGCGTCTGTTGGACTCCTCAGCGGCTGTCTCGAAGACCAGCCGCCCGCATCTCTCATACGAGCATTAGACAAAACCTGTGAAAGCGAGAGGTTCGGTTGGTGCCCTTCCTTTTGCGACAACGGGCCAAAGACGACGTAACGTTGCTACAAATAAAATTTGTTAGCATTCCAAGAAACAAAAATCAGTGCGCAATGAGCGACAGTGGCTAGATACCTTCCAAACAGGCTTTCCCAGGATCGTGCCCCGATCCGGGGGCATAAGAAGAATATCCTCCATCAGGACGATAGTTGATGGTGAGTGTGGATGACTATTCATTCAGTTGCGCGAGTTGCGCAAAGCGTTTAGAGTTGGCCCTCGGTGTATAGTTACGATCGCGCACAGCTAAGCATTACTCAGAAACAAGAGACCGAACTCTTTAAGTTGTCGTCAAAACGTCATACTGGGAGCGAAGTGGTGGATTGAAAGGCCAGCTATTCTTCGAGCTGATCTAGAGAATCCCAAGTCACAACGTAAGCGATAGAGTGTAGAAAAAAATAGTAGCCCAGGTTGCTGTTCTCGCTGTTGTTCTTCGAGAGTACGGATGAGCTGTGAGAGACAACTCAATTCGGCGTTACTAGTGTCTCATAAAATCGCGAAAGTAGAAAGGAAGGTGGCCAACGGCCTGGAAGAAAGATGTGGCGTGGAAAGGGAGAAAAAAAGAGAGAGAATGAGATGTACAGTATAAAGTAGAGGAGTAGTCAAGCTAGTCGTCTGTTACGCCGCTTGCTCGTTGACAGTCGACTAATCCTTGCACACTCACATAATTAATTTAAATACCCCTAGTGTATTATAAGTAGACAGGGTCGGACTATCAAGTACCCTATCTGAGCGGCCCATTAGTAGGTCTCTCACGGTAATGTGCTGGAGCGTGATTGCGCATCTGGAAAACTAGGGCGCTGTAGGGTGATGGGATCGATGTATACTACTGCAACTCCTGAGAACGCCATCTGGTCATGATGAAATATGGAGAAAGATGCTAGTGTATTGCAGTGTAGGGAATAAAAGGCTTACTTGTCTAGACCTAGAATAGAATAAGTGGAGGGAACTGTATAAGCATCTTGCTATACTCGGATTACTCTAAACTCAAAGCAGGGGGAATCCGAATGACCTACCCATTATAGTGACTTTGCAGTATACATATTATTCTCCTGTATTATTGACAGGGCAAGTTGGAGGGGTCATGCCCTGCTGCATGTCCCCCTGAGCAGCGGTACCTTACCCTGAACAAAGATTTGAGCCCGGCAGCTGGAAACCTGGAAACATCAAGTTGGCTAGGTTCAGGGGTTTTTCAGAGACCTACCAAGCAAACTGGTGTATGCTACACTAGTTACAGCATAATGAACGAGCTTATAGTAGATGCGCATCCAAACAGGACCTTCAGGTCTTGTGACCTACGCTATCATGTTGTGTCGCAAACCGGTACAAACGAAGCACAATAACGGTGAGTAGTTTCTATTACAATACGTAGTATCAGGCAAATCGGAGAATACTATGTTAAAGTGGCTTCTTGGCCCCTACATAGTATACGAATTCTTTGGGGGCGGGCCACAGAAGTACCCGACAGCCCGTAAACACTTTTGGAACTCGGCGTAGATAGATAAAAGAAATTCTGCTGACACCCAGGATCGTGACCAGTGTCACAGGTTACAGATTTAATTCGAACTGGTACGCACCCAGCGTCGACGCTTATTTCAGCCGTTCTACTATATAGATACGCTAGACTCTAAGTAGTGTAGAGCGGAGAGAGAGGCATTGGAAAAAAGACTCCTCTGGCCTAAAGACCGTCTAGACTAGTGTCTATACTTCAGTAGATAGTGTACGATCTATCTCGTCGACACTATACTATATTCTCGCTGTTTCCCGCGATGGAGTGCTTTTAGCACTACATGTAGAGCCCAAAATACCACTGTAGGTGAAGGTAGTGAAATGATGCAGGAATGTTTCGACCCAATAGTTCCTCTGCAAAGCAGATGTTGCCACCGCGGTGACACATAACCTGCAGTAGTTCCCCACGAATGCCATGGAAACGACGTAGAAACGGGTGATCGTTGATTGGGATGCGTGTGGCTGTAGTCTAACGACTGTGCGTCAGTCTGTCTGATTGGTGAAACCAAACCGGTTCATCGAGTAGGTAGGTAGGTCGCAGTTAATGCGACCATCTTTCGAGAATGACATTGACTAGATGCTACCCCAATCTACTTTCTTCCTACGCAGTAGATATTTAAAAGCAACAGAGGTGTCTTCATTATCACTACACGAAGGAATGTGGTCATATTCTGGATCTACATCCCCATCTTGGCGTAATATTTCCCGCTCTGACCCCTTCCCACGCCAATACACTAGCCACTTCGACATAAGCTAGGATCAGCCGGACAATGTTATCCTGTAGTCATCCTTTCGCAAGGTAAAGGATCACAGGTTGGCTCCTGCTCTACACTAGAATTTTGTAACCATGTGTTTTACTGTAGTGAGCCTTTAGTGTATTTATACGTACAGTATGCCATGTTCGTCTGTACGAAGATGCAATTACCGCCGCGGGAGCGTGTCCGGAGATGGAGTTGCAGAAGCGCTAGAACACATCTAGAACCCCTGGGGAGACCCCTGATACTTAGAGTTGACCGCCATAAAATACAGTGTATAGATTTATACTGTACGATGGTCCGC